GTAAACATACTGCGTTGATTGTTTCACTGTATATTAAAGATCTGTTACATTATTTGTCTCTAGTAAAATCGTGTTAGGAAATTAAAAAATTTGAACATTAGAGCTGCTGTCCACCAACTTTTTGAACAGCCCTCGTATAACACACTGATATACGATACATTATTCTATAGAAGCGAGAAAATATGACTATTTAGAAATTAGTGGTGTAGAGATTTCGCGTTAAACATGAATTCGCAAATCAAATGTCAATGCAAAGATCGCGTAAGTTAAAGTCTGCAAATATATATACACATAAAGTATATTGCAAGTCCACGAAGTTGGCACAAAGATCGACAGTAAACATTCAGCTGGACATTTGAGTAATCACTGTCGAGCTGGGATGTTAAGCGTGCAACATTCACATTTACATTCGTTTGTCTCTTTCTTGAAAGTGGAGTTTGGATGTGAAGCTGGCTAGCCATTGCGAAAAGCATTTTGCTCCATATTCGTTTGGTCGCCGTTTAAATGAGCTAGGATGTGAATCTGGCTAGACATTTATCAAAGATTCAGCACAACATTAGTTTTCTACCTCTTGTTTGAATGTCGACCTTGGATGTAAATTTTACTTTTGTTTGTTTGTTGTTTGGATTTTTACGGCACGTCAACACAACACTGATCATATCGTGCCGAATGTATGGAGGGTGATTTATGCCAAAATTACATCTTGCTTTCTTACGTTACATCGTGCTTTCTAACTTGTGCATCGTGCTTTCTAACTTGTACATTATGCATTCTGACATATACATCTTGCATTCTGACTTTTACATGTTGCTTTCTTACATGCACATTATGCTTTCTGCTGTGTGCGACTTGCTTAATTTTATGTTGATGTCGTTATTTAACGATCAATTATTATTCATTTGTTGATCTGGTATATTAATTCAATACATTAACCTGCAACTGATGTATTTGGGTCTATTTACTCAGCTTGAATGACGAATGTCATAAGGTAGAATGCGCATAGCCGAAAGCCGAATGCAGCAAGCATAATACAACGCGACATCTGGTGTAATAATATGTGACACCTAAATTATGCTAACAGGTGGCGCTACAGTTCTATTCTCGGTAAAGTCCGTATTGCGGTTCGGATTCAGTTTACCAAGTTACGTCCCTTTGTTTTAAAATTTCCATTTGCACTCATGGAGAAAATATACAAAACGATTTAACCAATTTTTATATATATTAATTAATGAAACTCTGTAGGTCAAATTATATTTCCAGCTGACAATGACAAGTTGCACATTTCCAAATCAATGGTTTTAGAATTTTTTTTTTCATCAACAAAATAATTATAAAATAGAACAGTTGTTCAACATTGTTCAAAGTGCTTGGGCCATAAAAAACTTCTTATTAAAATATTTCATCCTCTTGAAAAGTTCTTAAATTTTGACATGGCTTATTTCCAATACCTGTGACCATCCACAACATTTTTAATGTGTTTTTATTAATTAGGACATTTTCTTGCATATTTTCAAACTAATTTTGTACACACGTTAGATTTTTTAAATTCAACTTGTCAAAAAAATGTCTTTTTTCACTAAGTTGAAATTATTCACTAAGATGCTTTATGAATACGACCCAGGTTCTTGTTCACAGTGTCAGCTTTAAACTGAAGGAACTGCTATGTTATGATATAACAGGATGGCATTTATTTTGGTAATGACACTGTATATTCGGTAACGTAGATTTCAGATCTAATAATGTAACATATTGGCTGCATATTAACAACAAATGTCTTTAAAATATATCAAAATCTGTAAATTCTCTATCTAGAGGGACTTTCTAACCCAGGAAAATTCAAGGAAGTTAGGTACCTTGCTAATTTTCAGTTAATTTCTTAAATTTTTTAAAACATTCAACTTTTCACTTTCTTAATATTTGGAAAATTTATTGCTAAGCAGTCCTATATTCATCCCCATATAGGATGTCACGTATATTTCATTTTCTTCAAATGCAAGTAAAGGTTGAGAAAACAATTTTATTTTTTTGTAAAATAATGTATATTTATGGATATTATTTTAACATTATTATATATTGTAAGTTGGAGTAACGTATGTTTCACACTCGCTTATTTATGAACTTAATCACGGAATTGAAACTTACATGTAAAATCGACTTTTTTTTTATTTAGAAATCAAATGTACATCATTCTTTTGTCATAAAAATGCGATTTTATGTTTTTATATATGCACGTGTAAACAATATAAAGTTTGTTTGATAAAAATAACGTTTGTTTCACTGTGGTTACTTAAACAAGTTAAAACTCGACCAAAATTATCAAAATTTACTTACTAATGTCAAATAGAAGTTGATGTTGCTGTTATACGTGCTTTCTGACTTCAATTTCCCTTTTGATAAACTTACTTTAAAAAGTTGATAACATATGTTTCTGTAACGTATGTTTCATTTTTACATTGAAAGTGGGTTAAAAAATGACGCAAGACCGTTTAACCCGCCATAATTTGTGGTTAATATATCAGAGTTACACACATGTTAATTTTCTTTCTTGTTTGGATTCTTCTTTGAATGGATTGGCTCTTAAATAATGGTAACGTATGTTTCTTTTTAAAATGCTGTTGAAAAGATTTGAATAAAAAATGAAAATTTCCAAAATATAATGATATTTGAGAGGCTGCAAGCTTATTTTTTACTTATAATTATATATATGCTGTATTATTAAGCATGCATCGATTCAATTATGTAATTTCGGTTCCACTTTGTCACAATTTATTTATATGCATTTGGCGACATTTGATCATCCATTATATCAATGAGATTTTAACAGTCAAATATAATTTTTACCAATAATCAAAGTTCATATACACACAGCAATGACTAATTGCACATGTTTCGTTTATTCTGGAACATATTTTTCTGAGACACAATTTCAAAGTTGAAAATTCTAGGTGGCGACAGTAACGTATGTTACATTTTAGGGCATTAATGGTACTTGTAAAAGAAAAACAACACATAGAAATGTAAAACTGAGAGTGTCCCTATTAGACAAAGTGGCAGCCACCTTTCTAACGACATTTTGACCTCAAGACAAACCTTCGTATAAGAGCTACCCAGTGGAACATCAAATGCTGTGTCTTATTGAGAATGAGCGTGGAATGTGAATATACCTAGACATTCAGCAAACATTCAGCTCGACATTCGTTTTTGTCTGACATGAATCTCTAGCCGGGATTTGAAGCTGGCTAGACATTAAGCATAACATTCAGCTCCACATTCGTATGCTGCCTCTTTTTTAAATGTCGAGCTGGGAAGTAAAGTTTGCTAGCCATTCAGCACAACAGTCAGGTGAACATTCGTTTTTATGCCCCCGGGCATATAGTAATTGAAACGTCCATCTGTCCATCTGTCCGTACGATGTTAACCTAGAACGGAAAGTTTGATTTTTCTTAAGTTCTACCTGTACCAATGGCTTCATAATTTACACACTTACTAATCCATACAAAGAATATGATCTGGGCAAGTTACATAACTATGGCTTCCATTTGCACCATGTAATGGCCCTTTTCAGCACTTAGAAAATGAATAATGGTTAACCTAAACCGGCAAGTTGGAAATATCTTATGGTCTATCTGAAGTAATGGCTTAATAATTTTCACACTTACTTATCAATAAAATGTAAATGATATTGGCAATACCAAGTTATATAAATGTGCCATCCATTTTCCCAGTAATTTCCCTTTTCATCACTTTGAAAATAGGGCCTTGTATGGTTAACCTATTCCGCCAAGTTGGATTTATCAAAACATTTCACATAATTACTTAATCTATTTAATGATATCTTTCATATTTGGTAAGTGGATACCTTAAACGGTCCTCTAATTTATTGTGGCGTAAGGCGTCTCTAGGTCAAGGTCAAGGGCACTTGTGTAACAAATAAAACTAAACATTTATGCTCATACAGCTTTTATTTTTAAGTAAATGTCTTTCATGTTTATAATAGTCATACCAAGGGAGGTCCTCTGTCTTTTCCTGTTGTAAGGGGTCATTTGGATCAAGGTCACCAATGTCAAAAATGTATTTTTACACTTTTACAGGTGTATTATCCTTATTCTATTGACAAATGTCTTGCATATTTTGTAGGAACATAAAATTGAGGTATTCTCATTTGGATGGAGGTAGGGGTCAGTTGGGTCAAGGTCACCAGTGCTAAAATAGATTTTTACACTTTTGCCCATACAGCATTTATATATTGACATATTTATTTCATATTTGGTACGAAAATTAGTTGCATAATATTCTTCCTTTGGATGGAGTTAGGGGTCAGTTGGGTCAAGGTCACCAGTGCTAAAAATAGATTTTTTACACTTTTGACAATACAACCTTTATTTTAAATATTACTGACAAGAATCTGAGTCGGGGGCATTTGTGTTTAACAAAAACGTTCTTGTTTTAAATGTCGAACTGGGTTTAAGGCCGACTCGAGAATCGATTTCTGTCCCGTTTAGAATGCCGAGCTGTGATGTGAAACTAGCAAGATATTAAACGAACATTCAGCTCGACATTCTGTTTTTTGTTTCTTTTTGAATGTCGGGCTCGTTTGTAAAGCTGGCTAGACATTGTGCAATTATTCAGTTTAACATTCAAATGTTTGTCTCTGTTTGACTGTCAAGATGGGATGTGCAGCTGGCTAGACATACATTCAGCAAACATTCAGCTCGACAGTCGGTGTCTCTGTTTTAATGTCGATCTTAGATGTGAAACTAGCTAGACATACAATACAACTTTCAGTTCTGTTTCATATGGCGTGCATATCAGTGCCATGTTCCGCTTCGCTACACAAAATAACGGCCATAGCTATAAATATATAAAAACTGTCCATTTTAAATAGGTCAAACTGCTGGCAGGATTTCTACAAAAATTTGATAAGTACCATACTTAGTTCTGGGAGACATATATTTTTGTGACAAAAACCTTGAACAGGTTTTTTCTCTTTTTTATACTAGGTAAGTTACCAATAATTATGAATTGTCCTGAACATCGCTTATATTTGAGTACATCTAAATCCGAAAGTAGAGTTGTGTTAACTGAGAACTTAACATCAATAGTAGCCTATGATGGTGATGGTAACAAGTTAAAGGTTCGTAAACTATTTACCTTTGTATCTTTATATCTATCCAAATGCTTTTCTTGGTTGGATTTTACGTCGCATTAACACAGTAGATGTTATATGGCGAATTTCTAGCTGGTGGAGAAAGACTTCAGGTGGTCCATCTGTGCATTATTTTAGGCACTAGCGAACACCTGAACAGAACCACAGGCGTTGTGTTACCAAGCTTCGCCACATGAAAGTATTTTCAAGTCCGTCTTGTGATTTTGTATGTGCGTTGATATTCCATAACATCCTTTACATTTTTTCGAGCCCGCTTGTAGTGAGCTCGACTCCTCTTGTGGTGAGATCGACAATTTTTTCACTTTTGCCGAACAGTTTGTGCATCTTTCGGTCTTTATCTTTCTCATTCTTTGAAGGATCACAAAAAAAATTATTACAAATATTCACAATGATGAAATGATGTGTCGCACAGAAAATTCAGGCGAAAAATTCTGATATCTGTCGCAAAGGTCATGGTTCTACATCAGCACTCAGGGTCTAAAGTCAAATAACAATTGAAGACATTCATGTGTGAGTATAACTTCTATATACATGGATGGATTTTGAAATAACTTAGCTCAAAAAACTCCTTGTTGAATTCTCTTGCGAAAGGTGAATGTCAAGGTCATACTAGATCAGAGGTCAAATAAAAATATTAAGATTGCTCTAATGTATTATGTTTAGTGGCCATAGGATTTTAAATCGAGTCTGCTTGTGGCAACTTCGACATGTGTAGTTGTAAAAATGACTGTTCAGTGTCTGTGTGTGCGTGCGAACGAACTTTTCCATGCCATAAATTCTTCGTGTTTTGAGGAACTTTCAAAGGAAATGAATTGATTTTTTCGGCACAAATGTTCATCATGAGACGTCTTGTCTTGTACAATAACCAGGCCATCGGGTCTAAGGTCAACGTCACCTAAAATGATGCAATGTCAAGATTTTTGAATTTGTTATAAAGAGGAAGTGTTGCGCATATATGACCTATATATATATATTTCTCCTTGATCTGAAGCTTATAGAAACAGGTTTGAATTAAAATTAGCGGACTTGACATTCTGGCCGTGGGCATGTTTGGTTTTCAGTATCAGTACGAAAAATTATCCATGTAGCACTTTTAGAGTCATGAACTGACTTTTGCGTTCTGTATTGATTTCTAAATATATGAAATCTTAAGTCCAAATATTTAAGGATAATTTTATTTCTAATGCCGTTAAAGATACCCTCATGACTTTGTGAATTTGAGCTCGATTGAGGAGAAAACTTAACAACTAATTTTGATAACCTTTGAGATTTCTTTATGAAAGTAATTAGTACTTGCAGTATATTAAGAAACATTGCCGTTGCCGAAGTAGGGCTCTTACACACACTCACTTGGGGTTGAGAGGCAGATTCCATAAACATGAAGCCAACGTTTCCTTCTTTAAATGATAAAAAATTCAGATACGTTACATAATTCATTACAGGTACATTATGGGCCTACTTCTCTCCCACATTGTTACTGTCCTACACTGGCATCAAGGGATAGACCTGTAAAAGCGTATGCCATTGATTCGGCTTATAATTTCGTGTCATGTTCATTTGGAGTATTTCTTCTTGGTAAGTATAGAGTATTTTTTATAAATTGAGAACTGATTAAATATTTTATTTTCTTCACTATTGTTTTATTTGGTTAAGCGTGGGGGATGTTGCGCTTATTCAGTATCCCTAATGTACAGACTCAATAAAAACCGAGTCTGCGGTTTTGATCTAATTTTGTTGTGATTAATGCTTCAGAGGGGGCACATAATTTCCAGACTTTGATACTTCACAACAGCAGGTGTCAAGTGCCGTGTGGCAGTTGTAAAAAGTTTCCCCGTACTTCACTTCAGTGTAGTTATATTTTTCTGGTCCTCCGGGATCATTGATACCAGCACTTTTGCGTGTTGAGAGTTGGGTCCTGCTCGGGCTGGTGCTGGGGGCGTGGGGTATGTTGGACTTCTTCAGTATCCCTCATGTACATACTTAATCTAACCGAGTCTGCGCTTTTCATCTAATTATGTTGCGACTAATGCTTCCGAGGGTCAATTTGTTTCAAAAATTCTTTACAGGTATTTTACAATACTGCACGTTTGTAACGTCGTTTTTTATTGGATAATCGTGACGTTTATATGAATTTATAGAAAAGGATACTGTCAATTTACAAAGAAATGTGTAAAAAAGATTCTTGCTGTTATATTACAAATGTGTGACAGGTTATTTATGGCCGTATGTAAACGGTTGTTTGCATAATGACCCTCGACTATCGGCCCAGGTTATATTTCAAAATACCCGTTTGTATAGGGCATATTACCTGTTAAAATTCTTTATAACTTATGATATACCTGTAATTACATAGGTTTTTACATTTATTGCACGTGCACGACTCGACAGAAAAAAGAATTGTATCACGTTCGTGCAGTTTGACTAGACTCTATAATTTTGGCTAACGTTAAAGAATTGAGCTTGATATCATTAAAATTGATAATGGGCACTTCGCAATGGAATGAACGTCAATTTGGTAGGTAGTTGCATATTCAAATGTCCAACTACCTACTAGTTGGTTATTAGTTATTCGTGATTCCCAACATTTTAAAAGCTGGTATTTGGTATTTCGATCCAGTATTAACAAATCATACATTTTTAAACACAGCATGAAGGATGTGACCTTGTTGTTGATTGGCGCGAATCCCCAAATACCTACCAGAAGGTAATTGGATATTCGAACTTACAATGTTTTCACCTGCAAACAGAAAGTTTTTTTCAGGAATACATATAACATATAAAGCAAGATGGATGTGTTCTTCAACATCAAAACACGTAGTCTGCCTATGTCCACCAGTGGACACAGCTGGTTATTCGCATGAATTCCTTACTGCGTACAAGTAGGTAGTTGGTAATTCGAACTTAATATGTTTCACCCTGAAATAGGAAAGAATTTTTCCGGAATAAATATAAGTGATATATAGCAAGATAGATGTGTTCTTCAATATTGATACACCCTGTCACCATTTGACCACCAGGGGACTCTGTTATATTCCTCTGGAAACAGACAGTATTTTTTCTGAAACAAATTTTAAAGATAAGTTAAAAGATAATTTATGTATTTTCTATAATATGGTAACAGCCCCTTCACCATTATTCGCCCAGGGAACTCAGTTGGATATTACCAATCGGAATCTTTAACCAGCGGCTAGCTATCCAGTGGATAAAATTTCATTGTTCGGCAGTTGGATAGCACCTTGGCTACCTTGGTTAAGTATCACAATGCAACAGGACTGGTTAGTGATTCTGGAAACAAAATGGCTGATTTATTGGTAAAAAATAAAGTTTTTTTTTCAGACAGCAAGCTCCCCCCCCCCCAAAAAAAAAAACAAGAATAAAGATCAACAAGGCAAAGGCAACGTTCACAGGACGCGGTCCCCGACACACTAAAAAACCAGATTTATTATGCATGTTTTGTGCTTTCATGTTTTTTGGAAAAAAGCAAAAAGTATATCAAAGGCCTTAAAGTGTCGATAGATCTATTTTTTCCCATAGACACACATAGGAAAACATTCAAAAACATTTTTATTTCCAAATTTTGAATTGAAATTACTTCCATTAGATGGGTAATGTTCTAACTAAGAAAATGAGTACTGCGACTTGTATGTTTTATTTAAGAATAAGACAGTTATGACTAAATTTTCTGAAGTACAACAACAAGAAGTTTAGATTGAAAAGGGGTTCTACAAGCACTTTTTCAGAAATGTTTTAATTTAATCCCATGCATTTCATATGAAATATTCTAGTTAGGTAAAATAAACATATATTTGTAAGAAAAATTTGATTTCAAAGAAGTTTTAATGATTTTTACTGTTATAATGATAATAATTAAACACATAAGGACATTATACGGTGGTCATTGACTGGTTAAAGTTAACCACTGGAGACAATAAAACGCATTTTATCCGTTATATAACTTTTGAACAACAAAAAAAAAACAGACAAATTTAAGCCAGTGAATAATGATTTTATCCGTTGGTTATCACTAACCAATGTATTGAACAACCGGGTCCGGAAGGTAGTTTGAAATTCGAACTTAGCGTGTTTCACTCTGAAAAAAAAGAACTAAAATTCGGTATAAATTTAATGGATATTTATATACCAAGATAAATGTGTTCTCCAACATAGATACACCCTGTCTTTAAGCAAGGGACTCGGTTGGTTATTTTCGTTGTAAAAGGTAGTTCGGATATTGCACATATTTGTCGTAAACAATAACTTAAAGTTTCTCTGTAACAAGTGGTACGGTTATAGAACGAGAAATGTCTATTCTATAAAATGGTAACACCCCTTCACAATAAATCGACCAGGGGACTCAGTTGGTTATTCGCATGAATCCCTAACTAACTACCAGAAGGTTTGAAATTCGAGCTTAGCCTGTTATACCCTGAAGGAAAAGAAGAAAATATGTTTCGGTATAAATATAATGGATGGATATGTATAAACAAAGATAAATGTGTTCGCCAACATAGATACACACTTTCTTTGAGCAAGGAACTCAATTTGTTATTCTTGCGAAACCCAAACTACACACCGAACTTCTCCACATAACAGAAATATTTTTTCCAAATATATTTTTGGATATAATACAAAATAGACATCACCCTATCTCGGTATGTCTTTGGTTTTAGCATAAGTTAGCCAGTGTCTTTGAATAACAAGTATACTGTAACCATCTATAATGGATAATGGGTTAAGGCCAAACCCTTTATTATTATTTTATTGACTTCTTTTTTTTTGGTATAGTAGTGATTCCGTACAGAAATCTGGTTGCAATGACAACACAAACGAATTATAAGAATTAATTTACAATATCTTCTTGTAAAGACCCATATGGTCTAGAGCTTAGACATTTTGCATAATATGTTCAAATTAAAGCCTTGGGGTCAAAATAAGTCCTGCCCAGGGGTCAATGATTTTCACTATGCATATAGTAAAAACTTAAAAATCTTCTTGTCTGAAGAAACAGGGCTTAGACCTTTGATATTTGGTATATGATATTATCTTTGTTCTCTACAAATGCTGTTCAACTTTTGCCTCTAGTGTCATATTTAGCCCGGATCTATGGGTTCAAAGCTTTACCTTATATGTATAATGGTAAAGAACTTTAAAAATCATCTCAGAATTGACAAAAGGTAGAGATTAGATATTTGCATGAAACATTGTGTAGTGGACCTCCACCATGATTGTTCAAATTAATGCCATGTGATCAAAATTGCCCCACGCACCTGGTGTCATTGATTGTCACTATTTACAGTAAAACTTATGAAATTCTCTTGTCTGAAGGTACAAGACTTAACGGTTTGATACTTTGTATATAATATCATCAAAAGGTCATCTTCAAAAATTAGGCCAGTCGCGGGGGTTGATAGGTTTTCCATTTACATGTATGTTTGATAGTACGAGTAAATGGAAAAAACTTCCTCTCTGAATTGACAAAGGCTAGAGGTTAGATATTTTGCATGAAACATTTGTTTTAAACTATATCAAATTAAAGCCCTGGAGTTATAATTTGCCCCTCCCCGGGGTTATTGATGTGCACTATGTACATACAGGAAAAACTTCTCGTTTGAAATAACAAGTCTTAAAGTTTAAATATTGGGTATATTATATAACCTTATAGGTCTTTTACCAAATGTGTTCAAGTTTTGCCCCTGGTTACAAAATTGGCCCTGCCCCGGACCCAGAGGTTTTCCTTATATGCATATGGTAAAAACTAAAAAAAATTATTCTTCTCAGAATGGAAAGGCCTAAAGATTAGACATTTTTGCATTAACCATTATGTACTTGACCTCTACCAATATTGTACAAATTATAGCTCTGGGATCAAAATTGACCCTGCTTTGGTGTCATTGATTTTTATGATGTAGATTTATTGGAACAGGAACTAAAACAAATGTTTCTGAATAACTACATTGTTTGGTGGACCTGTGTGGAGGTTGTTAACATAAAGCCCTTAGGTCAAAATTTTGCCCTGCCAAAGTTGACAGTGACATTCTCTCTCGTCCTTTGATGTACAGCCATGGAATTTAAACCATGTCCTAAGTTTGAGATGTAAAATTGAATTTTAATATCAGATGATCTAGATTTTGACATGTGACCTCATTGCTTGTCTTTTGATGTACATGTATGAAATTTTGACCATGTGCAGTTTTAGATAAAAAATGAACTTTGATATCAGCTGACGTAGATTTTGATGATATGAACTACTTTCTGGTTAATTGATGTAGAGCGATGAAATTTAAACCATGTGCGCAGATTACGATGTAAATTTAACCTCAATATCAGCTGACCTAGAGTTTGAAAAAGACCAAATGCATTATGGCAAAGTTCAATTGTATAGAAACAAAAAACTGTTCTGTTCCTACATAACTATTGAATGTTGTATTAATGCGGTGTAATAGCATTTTTCACAAATACAATCTTTATACAATTATGTTTTCGGTTGTATGCACTCTATATGGAATTTATCGGTAAATATTGGTATACCCCCCCCAAAAAAAAAAAAAACAAACAAAAACAACAAAAAACAAAAA